CTTTTAAAATAGTTAAACATTTTGTTCTGGTTCTGCTTTTTTTGTGCTAATTTTAGCTTCTATCAGCTTCTTTCTGCTAATTTTCTTTTATTTTCTTTTATTGCTTCTCTCAGCTCATTTCTGCAATTTAAGCTACTTTATAACTTGAAAAATATAGAAAAAACACATTTTTTTCCTTCTGTATGGCATGTATCTCATTTCACAATTTTTGTGCTATTTCAACAATTCATATATCAAAATGTTTAGCTCCTTCAGGACAGTTTGGCTGTCTTTTGGAATTTCAACTACTTTTTGTAGCCACTTCACTTTTCGGACACATTTTTCCCATTGAAAATGAATGGAGCTGTTTTCAAACTCCTTAAAACCCTTCAAAATGTTTATAAATCTTTACTGTACCTTACACATTTTGTTCTGGTTCAGTTCTTTTTAACTTCCTTATACTACATTTAGCTTTGTGCTAATATGAGCTTTTGTCTGCCTTTTCTTGCTAAAATTCTACTCCTTTCTGCTATTCTTCTGCTAGATTCTACTTTAGCTTTCAGCTTCTCTTTGCTAATTTGAGCTTTTTATGGTTATTTCAGCTGCTTGCTGTAGTTGTAGCTACTGTTCAAATGTTATGAGCTAAAATAAGTATTTAAGCTAAATTCACATTTTTCAGGCCATTTCAGCTTCTTTTCGCAAAGTTCAGCAAACGTGCTCCTTCTGCCTTTTCAGCATCTTCAGCTACATTTTAGATGTGTTAATGCACATTTCAGCTGTTTTAGCTATTTTACAACATTGAAGAAATTTATAGTTATTACAGATTAGTACTGATGTTAGAAACAACACTAGTTTATTAGGGTTTCCTTTTTATAATATTTTTATAATGTGTGATCTATTGACATAGAGTAGTTACATGTCCGAATCATAGACAACACATAAGTGAACTGTTATAATAACATTAGGTTGAGTTTATTGGATGAATGCCTGTGATTCAGCCGTAGGTCAGTAGGGGGCGAACTCAGGCATTGAAGAATCATGTATAAAAAGATGTACTTCCTGGCTTTTGGCCAGTGGGGTTTTCCTTGTCAGCCTGGTGACAAATAAACCTCACTCAGGTTTTCAGAATTCTGGTGTTGTATGACTTTATTCCATACACAAATCATTTTATTTAACAAGTGTGTTTTCATCTTGACTTCAGTCGTATTGAACACGTATTTTATCTTACAGTTTTTGGTGACACCCGACGATCTGCTGACGGTCGAATTGACAGCGGTGGTGTGTTGGGGCTTCGGCTGGATAGGCCGGTCGTGGGAGCCGCCATATCGACGCACGTCCTAAGGCGCCAATAAACAGGTGAGCAAAATCTTTTTGCTTTCCGTCTTGTTAACATAACGGGACTGTGCGACGATCGGTGTTTCTGCGTGATGGCCTATGTGTCGGAGCGTTGAAACAGACCCGCTAATTGTTAGCTTCTGTGTTAGCGTTGCTACGCTATGCCTGTGTGAACCAGTGTAGCAATGTTAGCTTGTTAGCTTGTCGGTCGAAGACATAACAAACGTGGTTAATGTGGACGGTAAGAGAAGGTTTTTAAAGCGTTTAAACTTATCAGACTGTGGAGGTTTAAGGTCATACAATATATGGGGCCCTTTTTAGGTGGTGACATTATTTCTTAGGCCGTTTTAAGCGCGTTTCCGAAAATCCCGTGGTGAGCTTTCTGTAAAAGGCTGCGCTGGACGGGTGGGAGTAGACTAAACAAATTTGTGGTGGCGAGTGGGCCTTTGTTTTACTTTCATTCCTTTTTTCCTGCTAATTTTACTCTTTTTACAGCACTTTCACCACCTGTAAGCTAATTTTAACTCGTCTGCTACATTTAGTTTCTTATTCAAATAATTTTAGTTTCTTTTCTGCTATTTTAGCTATTCTTCAGCTAATTCTTCTGCTTTTTGTGCTTCGTTCTTAATCTTTCTGCTTTTTGAGCTTTTTATGCTTCTTTTGTGTTTCAGATAAACTTGATTAAACTTTAGCTTTCAGCTAAGGGTTTCAGCAAGAAATGTTCACACTTGCATTTGCAGGAAATCCAATTTCTGTAGTTTCAGCTAAATTTATCTTTTTATGGTGATTTTAGCCACTACTTTTAGCTGCTTAATTCAGCAAGTGTGTGCTCTTTCTGCTTCTTTGTGTAAGATTCAGCTTTTTCAGCTACTTTTCTGCTATTTTTTCACATTTTGTTGTCCATTTTACGACAAATTGCACAATTTTTGTACATCTTTTCTTTCTCATCAGGCTTTCTCAAGTTTCTTTAAAGGACTTAGATTCCTCTGGGTTATTTACTTGGTCAAAAGCGAACCCCAAGGGAAAAAAAATGCAATTTGTCCACAACTAAATAAAGTGAGCAGTTTGAAGAAGAGCACAGCAAATAATAATGACCTGCAGGAAGGATTGTATCATGAAAGACATCGGGACACAGACCACAACTTCGAGTGCTTTATTGGGTTTTTCACTGCTGGGGAATGTTGTCCCAAATGTCACCAACAGTTTGTAAAAATGTGTCATTTAGTAAGAGTTCAAGCAAAAAATATATTATTTTATTAATACTTCGGCTCCTCAAACAAAGCAGCTTGATCAAAAGATTACGACAGGATTAAGAAAACTAAAACAAAAAAAAAACATTTTGGATGAGAGGTGAACCAAGACAGGAAGTCCATTTCTGTTCAACTCTTACAATTAACGTGACTTAAAAGACTGACAGTTTACAGCAATATATTTAGGAGCCAATGATCTAGAAGAGAAGGAGGCTAATTATTCTCTATGGAGTCGGTGGAGCCCAAAGTAAAGCTCAAATGAGAGTGAAAATTGGTTTTATGATGCTTAACTAGACAAGTTGTTCCTTTTCTATGGCTTTTTTTGTCCAAACCGCAGCAAAACATTATCAAATACAATCAACAGCAACCTGATTAAAAAGAAGAAGCCGAGGTGTCACACGGGGCTCGCGGGGGGAGGGACGTCGTTCACTCATTAAACCGATTACAGACCAGATTTACGGCTCTGCGTAGCGTGGAAAATAAAACGGGGTGAAGTTGACGTTGGAGGAAAAGGGCAGGTGAGAGGACAGATAAGGGAGCTGTGTGAACACGGCGGCGGGGAGCACAGGGTTGATGTAAAGTCAGCGAGCATTAAAAAAAAAAAAGAAAAGAAAAAAGCCCTCAGGAATGTTGGCGGCGAGAAAACGACAACGGCCGTAATGGTTTCCATATGGCGAGGGAGAGGAGAGCGGGAGAACGCGGGATGATGGAGAGAGAGGAGAAGCAGCGATGATAAGGCTTCCAGCTGGGGGGNAAACACACACACACACACACACCCTGCTGTCCAGAGGCGGCCCAGAATGCTGCAGCATCCATGTCACATCCAGTACATATCACACTACGGACAACCACAGAGACACGGGATGGAGGCACGCAGGATGCTTTGGCATTTGAAAAGAGCACGTCCACACACACACATACACACACACACACACGCACACACACACACACACACCTTGTCCTGCTGCGTTGGATACACTCAGCACAACACACTGCAGACGAGGAGCGTCTGAAACCTGTAGCTGCAGGAGAAAACAAGCTAACAAACTGACTGCAGAGACACTTTTTATCCTCTTTGAACAAAGCTGAGCAACGGAGCCATATTCAGGTCAACAGAAACTTTTTCTCAAGCAACCCCCCCGCCGCCCCCCCTCGTCTCCCTCTTTTTCCTCATCTCCTTCTCATTTGCATCCTTGTTCCTGTTTTTATGTTCCTGCTCCTGCATCGCCAGCTCAGAACTTTTGTTCGCGGCTTCCTTTGACTCGTACAAATGTTCACTCTTAAAAAGTGCTCCAAATACAGACTCTTGTGCTTCAATAAAGCCTCTCGCTCTGTTCTGGGTTTTTTTTTCCCACCCCTCCCTTATTTCTGGTTTCCTTTAGATTTTTATTCATTACAGTTTTCCAGCTCCTCTATCCTCACCGAACAAGGTGTCTGCTCATGTAAAGCTTTAAATATGCGTGCAGAAAAAGAAACTGAAAATTAAAAGAAACAAAATGGATAACTGCTGAAAAATTAAAGTTGATTTTACATTTTCATTCTTTTACATGGCCTAATGGGGATGTTTCATGTCTGATCACAAGTATAAGCAACTATTTTAACTGGTTTCTGATTACTGAATAATGTAATATTGTGACATGATATCATCAAATATTGCATTATTGTGATAACATGTCATCAAATATAGTCATATTGTGATATGATATCATCATCAAATCTTGTCATTGTTATATTGTGATGTTGTCAAATAGTCATATTGTGATTACATTGTGAAATTATCAAATATTGTATCGCGATATCACCAACTATTGTCATATCATGATATCATCAAATACTGTCATATCTTGATATCATCAACTATTGTCATATCACGATATCAAATATTGTCATTTCATGATATCAAATACTGTCATATTATATCATCAAATAATTTCATATCGTGATATCTAATATTGTCGCATCTTGATATCATTAAGTATTGTCGTATTGCAAATCATCAAATATAGTCAAATCTTAATATCATCAAATATGGTCGTATCGCAATATCATAAAATATTGTCATATCGCAATTTCATCAAATATAGTCATATTGTGAAATGATATCATCGAATCTTGTCATTGCTATATTGTTATATTGTCAAATAGTCATATTGTGATGATGTTGTGAAATTATCAAATATTGTTGTATCGCGATGTCATCAAATATTGTCATATCATGATATCATCAAATATTATCATATCGTGATATCAAATATTGCCGCATCTTGATATCATTAAGTATTGTTGTACTGCAATATCATCAAATATAGTCAAACCTTGATATCATCAAATATGGTCGTATCGTTATATCATAAAATATTGTCATATCGCAATTTCATCAAATATAGTCATATTGTGATATATCATCAAATCTTGTCATTGCTATATTGTGATATTGTCAAATAGTCATATTGTGATGTTGTGAAATTATCAAATATTGTTGTATCGCGATGTCATCAAATATTGTCATATCGTGGTATCAAATATTGTCGCATCTTGATATCATTAAGTATTGTTGTATTGCAATATCATCAAATATAGTCAAACCTTGATATCAAATATTGTCATATCGTGATAACAAATATAGTTGTATTGTTATATCATAAAATAGTGTCATACCGCAATTTCATCAAATATTGTCATATTGAGATATCAAATATTGTCGTATTGTGATATCATCAAATTTTGTCAAATCTTGTTGTAAAATATTGTCATTGAGATATTGTCATATATTGTTGTATTGTAATTATATTGTGATATCATCAAATATTGTCATATTGTGATAATATTGTGATATCATCATCAAATAGTCATATTGTGATATCGTCAAGCATTGTAATATAATGTTATGAAATCATTGTCAAATATTGTGATATTGGAATATCGTAACATCTACAAATACTGTAATACTGATATTGTGATAACTTAAAATATGATATTGTTAAATTTTTAATATAATATTGTGATGTTGTTAAGTATTGTAATATTTTCATAATATCAATATTGTCAAATATTGTGATATAATCAAATATCTTATATTGTGACATCATTGTCAAATATTGTGACAATATCAGTTGTAATAAACCCATTTTCCTTGCTGCCTACAAATGTAATATCCTTCAGTATTTTTTCCACTTTCATCTAAATTGGCTGTATCTTTGAGCATATTGTGATAACAATAAAACTCATATATTGTGCAGCCCTAGTACCAAATAAACCCATTTTATGTGTATCCACTCACCAATAATTGGCTTCAAAATGACCAAATAGAGTAACTTAGTTCATTTAGAGAACAACAGAATATTTTAAAAATCTTTCTTGAACTTGAGGCACAATTTAAATTTAGATTCAGTTCTTTAACTGTAAGATTTGGTTGAGTTCACACATTAAGGTGAAAGTTTTTTATCTGGCCTCTGGGGTTCGTCCGTCAGAAGAAATGTTGCTTCATGAAGAGGTGAACATCTGGTTTTACAGGAAACCAGCTCATATGTGTGAGCCAGGAGCACACCGCGTCCATTTTATGGGGATTTTATGTGTAATTTCATATCTCAAAGGCATCTGATTCAATTAAGACCAACAAAAACCATTTTCTCCAAACCATTAACATAAAAAACAGTAGATTGCAGCTTTATTGCTAGATTATTATTTTCATTTTTTTTTAAGATCTTGCCACTTTTTTCAACTCATCAGGAAAATCCCAGTTTTCCTACTTGAGTAATTTTCTTTTCGCTGCTGCGAACGTTGGCTTCTCTTTCACAGGTGTCTGAAAACAAACTTGACGACCAACCAGGAACCATAAAGCCACGGAGACGTTTTTCTGTCCAAACTCGTATTTTGCTTCGTTTCTGAAAAGGAAATTTAACCGTCCCTCTGGGTGATCAAATGAACCTAAATCAGATTTTTTTTGGACTGCGTTTCTCACATGTGCACCGTTCTCACTCGCTTTCTTTTTTCAACTTTATCTTCACTATAAACTACAGTTTGTTCCTGCGTCTGTATCTCTTTACTCCCCCCACCCCAACACCACCACCACCACCACCACTCTTTCCTCCTGGTTTTCAGCGAGCGTTCCGGATGATTTGCGGCGGTCTGGATTGGTCCCATTAAAGGTGGTCTTGTGGAGGTGTGAGGTGACACAGCGACTGCAGGGCCCCCTGGCAGCTCCGAGTGCGTTCACGTGTGTGTGTGTGTGTGTGTGTGCGCACGCAACGTGAGCGCGCGTGAAAAAGAAAGGAGAGAAACGGATCGCGGGACCACAAATGGATACACTTTCATACACTCCTCCAGAGGCTGAAGGAGACCCCCGAGGCCTGAACACACACACACACGTTACAGCCCTCCTGTTACTCCCTGCGAGCTTTTCAGTGTGTTCAAGTTTAAAGATGACAAAGCTCATATTTTTACATACATGCATGCACGGACGGACGGTTGCAGCTGGTGTTTACGCCTGCTGTGAGAACGGCCTTTCAGCTTCGACTCATTCACTCCAACCACCTCGCTAATTTAATTAGGTCACCCCGGGCTCTGGAGGAACCGAGGTTAAAATGCATGCAGTGGCTTTCCCTGTCTGTGCTTAACACACACACACACACACACACACACACACACACACACACACACACAC